CACCGCCTTTCAGATCCTTCTACCGCCGTTCAGATCCTTCCACCGCCGTCACTTCAACTCCAGCAGCATCACTTCAGCTGCAGCAGCGTCACTTCAACTCCAGCAGTGGCACTTCAACTCCAGCAGCGTCGGCTGCCTTCCCTGCACGAAATCAGAACTTGCTATAGCGCTCACAGAAAGAATATCTCAAGCGACAAGTAAACAGCAAGCATGAAATCTGAAGTATGCATAAAGCAGCAGCCAAACGGCAACAAAGAGAGAGAGAGAGAGAGAGAAGCTTACTTTGCGAGCTGATCTGCGTGCGCTGCTCCCAAGGTGCTGATCCGCGTGCGCTATTCCCAAGGTGCTGATCCGCGTGCGCTGCTCCCAAGGCGCTGATTCGCATGCGCCGCTCCCAAGGCGCTGATCCGCGTGCGCCATTCCCAATGCGCTGGTTTGCTTGCGCCGCTCCCAATGCGCTGATCCGCGCGCGCCGCTCCCAAGGCGCTGATCCGCGTGCGCCGCTCCCAAGGCGCTGATCCGCGTGCGCCGCTCCCAAGGCGCTGATCCGCGTGCGCCGTTCCCAAGGCGTTGATCCGTGTGCGCCATTCCCAAGGCGCTGATCCGAAAAGGGTCTTTCTCCGAGCTCCTTTTCTGCACATAAAACATAAATGCAATTAGTTCACTATAACACATAAATCATAAAACGGAACGTTGGATTGCAAATGACTAACATGGCTAAAATGACTAACATTGCTTACAAGTGAAGAAAGTGTTGAAGCTAAGGGACCTCCTTGGAGCTCCCGCGCCCACCGCTAAAGGAGATCCCCGTCCGCAGCTCCAAGAGGGTCCGCCGCTCTTTGTCTGCACATGTAACACACGAACGCGATGAGTAAAACATAAAACGCAAAGCATAAAACGGAACTATTCATTGAAAGAGACTTGGCTGAAAATAAGAAAGGTTATTGAGGGAATAACATTGCTTACTGTTGAAGGTCAAAATGGTTGAAGCTTGCGGAGTTGCAGCTCCCCTCCACTCCTTTGAAGCTTGAGTGAAGAAACCAGATTGAGTGAATACGCAATCTTGAGTGAAGACGCCATGATTGCTGAAAAACAGGGGGAAGGAATGCACAGACGGATGCACGGAGTTAGTAAACAGAAACTAACAGATTGGAAAGTAAAAGAAAACAAAAACAAGGAAACGAAATGCGAAATTGAAAGCGGACACGAAAACAACACAAGGAAGCGTCGATGATACGTGATGGATGGATGGGATGGATGGATAGGATGGGATGGACGTCCATGATACGCCGGCTGCAGCTAGCAGAGGGAGGAGCTGATCTACCCAACCCGCGGAGGACATCTACTAAACTACAGCCAAGTGTATCAGAGGGACGGTGGAAAAATGCGAAATGGAGGACGAGTGATATAGCGCGGAACGAAGTGCGAAACACGAAATGACGAAACAAATGGAAAACGGACGACGAGGGGAAAGAAGCAAGGGGAAAGAGACTTCCCAGTTGCTGTTGGAGGCAAAACGTCGGTCAGGCAAAACGCTGGAGGCTTGGAAGGTGGAAGGCGGAGCCTTCCCAACGCACGCCCACCCTCGTCGCCAGGTGGAAACGCCGGTCATATAACCGGAAGCCCGAAGCGCCGGACTCAAAGTCCCAAAATCATTTAATGATGCCTGATGAATTCCTTGACGGTGTCTGCTCCCAAGGACGTTTACGGAAGGTCAAGGTATTTGATTCTGCACGCCAAAGGTACAACAAAAGAAAATGTCAGAACGCGTTTCAACAAGGACATTTAAAGAAAATTACAGCAAAAGCATTCAAAGCAAACGTACCTCTGGAGGTCGTGAGGTAGGCACGGCGGGGGGCGATGTGTGGATGGAAGTGGTTCAAGGTTGGTGTTTGCGGCGAATGGTAGTGGTGGCGGATCTCCAGGGTTGACCAGCAGAGAAGTGGATCTTCGTGATTGACTGAAGTAGACGTGGATCTTCATGAGCAGCAGAGATTAGCTGTTGTAAATAGCGTCTTTGCCAATGCTGTTGTAAATCGAAATGGATCTTCGGCCTTGAGTTGCAAAGGGTAGGAATACCAAGGCGTTGTGCCTGCCAGAAGAGCAAAAATAAGTTAGATCACGGTCCAACATGGACATCCAAGAAACATGACGCTGGAAAAGTCAATAAATTTTGACGTAACAACGTTTACCTCTGGAGTTTGAGAGGTAGGCCGGGCGGGGGGCGGGGGCGTGGATGGAAGCGGGTTGAATATTAGCGTTGGGGGCGAATGGCGGTGGCAGAACTCCAGAGTCATCCGTTTGAAAGTAGTTGAAGAGAAATCGTGGGCTATAGTTCTAAGAATGCTAAGCCACTGTATGGTAAAGTTCTTGCCAAAATCGGAGGTGGTTCTGGATGAGGGAGAACCTACGTCACGCCGGTTCGTCACCTGGATTGGAACCCTGAACACCAGAACCGAGTGGCTGTGCGGCTCGGTAAGCGGCTCTACTTAGCGGTTTGTTTTGAGCCGCTTCAGTTTGCAGCGTTTTCCTGTCCGTGGTCTGTGAGGAGGTTCTATGAGAAACCCTAAATGAATGGGAGAATGGAGCAGAGCAGAACAGCACAACAGTCCGAAAGCCAAAACTGTACAGGTGAGCGGCAAATTACAGCAACCTTGTTGGGTGTGGTGGTCACCACCAGTTGTTGACTGTCAAAAAGTTTTCAGGATAAGAATATCGCATGGGATGTGTTTCCCTCATTTTCAAGACTCTAAAACCAGGACCAGCATATTTCCGTTGCTTAAGAATCAGCTGTTAAGATAAGCTTAGTAGTGCCTAGGGTTTGGGTGCTATGCAACTATCTAGAGTAGAAAGGAAGGGGGTTTCACTATAGAAAGTTGGAAACATATATGCAAGGAAAAGAGAGGTGCACCACCAAACAAGTTTAGAACTACATTAAGTCTACACTACAGGCAGTTATAATATAATGCATGTAATTATATTCCTATATCAGCCCGTCACGGCCTTTTTTTTCCAAACCTCAATCCCTCCAGTGATACTGAAACTTCTTGATTGCGATTCTAGGAAGCGAAGCTTTTGAGTTTCGATTTTTCCGAAGCTCCTTCCAACTGCCCACAAACCACAAATCCGAAGCGCGTTGCCTGACGGTGATGTTCAGTGCGTAAGTACCTCATTGTGGACGAAAGCGAGGGAAAGAGGAGGCTGGGAAAGTCTCGCTGTTGACGTCACAAGCACAAACGTCGCCAAGGAACCATCCCCACAAAACTGCAGCAAGTCGTGGGAAGCTGACTTGGGATGGGATGAGACTGGGCTGACGACAAATGAGCGACCTGAGCGAAAAGCATCGCTCAGTTCCGCGCCAAAATCTTATCCTTCAGCAGTGACATGCTGGTAGGAGTAAGGGGCTGTGCTGCACGGATTAGAGCGCCAAATCAGCACATTGGCGGGTGGCGGGCGACCATCGAGCGACCACCATTGCCATTGCCCTCGAGTGGATATCTTTTGCGACAGCACACCAATAAGGGACGGGACAGTGTCAGCGGTGGTCCCCACCCCACAAATTGGGATTTGCAGATGATTTTTTTTTTTAGCTGTGCCCGTGGAAAGGGCTGATGAACGGAATGCCTCAAAAAGTGCGAATGTGTTTCCCGAATTTATATTACTCCAACCATCCCCAAGAACACCCCAAAACCGGATGTGTGTTTCTTCTTGTTTGTCTATCAGGCTGCCCACAAACAGACCTTGAAGTCTCCCTGAACTGGTTTGCAGCAAGTATCCCAGTCTGGCGAAAAACAAAAGGCGACCCGAAGGTCATCATCATTCATTTCCGCGCCAATACTGTATCATCACCCAGCATAACATCCAGGTGCTGTGTACCGTGCGGATGGGAGAATCTCCACACATCACCATATTGAAACAAGGACTCTGGCTGCCGACCAACCAGTGACAGCGACCCAAAAACCATTGGGCAGACAGAGCATGGTGTGACTGACATGACAATGCGACGATCGAACGAGGCTGTGCGACGAACTTTTGGGAGTTCCGCCGCCAATCTCTGCCCTTTGACGTCACAACAAGTGCTTAGGAATCTTCACACAGAAACTCCGCGACACTGGATGAAGCTGCCTTGCAACGTGATGACCACGGCGACTTTGTGCAGATTGGACGACGATTCTCGCGTGCTACAGTAATAGGGAGCAATGGTCGTCAATTTAAGTGGCTGGTTAGCGTTTATCCAAATATTCGTAAACAGACTTGGCAAAAGGCTCTCTCTATAGCGAGAATCCTTCCTGGAAAGAATCTCCATCAAAGTGCCACTTCCGCATCGCCTTGCAGCCCAGATTCCCCCCAATCTGAATCTCTTTGGGCGACATCAGGTTGAGAAATGTACAACCTGACGTCGCCCTTGCGCGAGAATTGGTTTGTGCGTGGAACGTGCTTTCTCTTGATGTGAATCAGCTATGAGCCGTCGCGCTTGACGATCATGCGAAACTACTCGTTTCACAACGTCGAAGCGTGGGGCTTTGCTAAGTAGCAGCGATAGGAAACGGTGCATGCGGTTGAGTCTCTTAGTCGATCGGTCTCTTCGAGTCAACTTGCTTGCTTCTAAGTCGATTTGAAGGCACAAGCGTGGGCGACGGTGCGTGCAGTCGGTCCGCAGAATGGCGTTCCCCACGCCAGTCGCCGCCATTCCGCCACACCTTTGCGCATCCATTCCCGCTCTTCCGACCGCGCGCCATACACCCTTCAACCACTCACTCCCACCTGCAGCTGCCGCGTCGCCGTTACGCCTTGTACACCCTAGTACCGCGTCGCCGTTATCTTCGCATTTAACAGTCACCCATTCTTATCGCCGACACAGCCAGTCTTACTCCACCGTGCCATCACCGCCACCACCGCCGCTCCCACGTTTTCCGGCGCGTCCGGCGCCGTGATCCCCACGGTTGAAGCCGCGGGGGCCAGCGCCTTCGCGGCAGTTTCGCCGTTGAGTCCTGGATCGCATGATCGTCAGAGCAGCTCGAATAGCGACGCTCTCGCGCAAACCGTTGCTGTTGCGACCCAATGCGACGAATCGGCTGGAATGCGCGACAACTCGCAATTCGTCGCCAGTCTTCGCGCAGAATGTCGGTGCAGGGGCGAGAAGGGTCGCCCGTGTTACCACGCAGACCGCGGGGGCGATTTCCAGCGCGCTCCGCCTTGCGCCTTCCGCCGACGCAACCCGTGGAGGAAAAGGAGACGACAGCGGGCGGAGCTTAGACGCGCAGAGGTGCAGGGACGGGCAGGCAGAGCAGCGGCGGGGGGAGGGGGGAGCCCGGGCGGAAGATGAGGGTTGTTTGACTGACGAGAAGGAGGAGGAGGAGGAGGAGGAGGAGGAGGAGGAGGAGGAGGAGGAGGAGGAGGAGGAGGAGGAGGAGGAGGAGGAGGAGGAGGAGGAGGAGGAGGAGGAGGAGGAGGAGGAGGAGGAGGAGGAGGGGCATCGGCGGAGGGTGCGTTTGGGGAAGGAGCGGCGGCTGGGGCAGCCGTGGAACTCGGGGATTTCCCCCGCCGACCAGCGCGCGTTCCGCCGCCTGCTGCTCGGCGCAGACGGGGAGCGGGGGAAGGCGGAATGGGTGCTCAGCGCATCTGCGGAAGCGGCGGCGGAGAAGAGGAATAGATAATGAGGGCGGACGCGCGCTGATGGGAGAGTGGATCGGTGATCTGCGTCGTGAGCAAGGGCGGGCGGGCGATGGGCGCGCGGATGGTCCCGGATGCGATGAGGGCGGACGCGCGCTGGAGCTCCGCGGAACGGGCGGGGAATTGACGGAGAAAGGGGAAGGGGAATCGTCGGGGGAGATATCCGCGAGTGATTTTATGACGATTTTGAAGGGGTTGGGGAACAAGGGCGGTGGCGGGATGCGGTTGCGGTGTTTCACTGGGCGCGCGGGTGCGGAAAGATCGGCGGAAGCTGCGCGGAGGGGGAAGAGGCGGGGCGTGAGCGCGGGAACCCGATGGTGTCGCTGGTGCTGCGCATACTGAGCCGATGCGACTGCCCGAATGTGAGTGTAACGAGGGGGGGGGGGGGGGTGCGTCATGATGTGACTTTAACGGAAGGATACGATTGTGTAACCATTTATTGCCATTATAGACCCGCTCTCGCTCCCCGTCCCCGTCCCCTCCGTTGATTCCCTGCTACCCTTCCCCCCACTCCCCTCCACCCCTTCCCCTACCCTTTCCGCGTACTCCCCGCCCGGGAAACGAACGATCTGTTCCGCGCGCTCGTGTTGGACAGATGCGCGCTCGACGGGCGGGCATACACTGCGATGATGAGCGCGCTTTCACTCCTTATCTGCCCGTCGGCTCCCCCATCCCCGCGCATGAATCGGATGATCTGCTGCGCATGCGCGCAAGCGTGGGTGTTTCCACCACATGACGTCGCTGCTGGAGGAGATCCGGACCGCTGGATTGACCCCGGATGAGTACACGTATAACACGATGATCTCCGCGTGTGCTTGCGATTGTGGATGAGGATGTGGGGGATGTGCCTTACCAGCAGCAGCCGTTTCAGCATCCCTGGCGCCAGAAGCAGCAGCAGCAGCAGCAGCAGCAGAGGATAGCAGCAGTGACAGTAGCAATAGTGACTCTGCCCGACACAGTACCAGCCACTACACGACAAACGACAGCTACAGTTCCATCAGCCGCGGCAGCAGCTACAGTGTCAGCAGCTGCCCAGTACATCTAAGAAGCGGAGCGAATCTTTGCGGAAATGCGGGCGACAGGGCTGAAACCGACACGTTTCACGTACAACGCGCTGTTGGACGTGTACGGGAAGGCTGTCCACGTGGCACTCGCCCATTCGGTGCTGGAATCCATGCTGGAGGCGGGCGTGCGGCCGAATCTGGTGACTTATAACAAGATGATCAGCACGTGCGCGCGCAAGGGGCTGTGGCGGGAGGCGCGTGGGATTGTGGGGTCCATGCTGCGGGGGGGGGAGGCGGAGGGGGAGGCGGAGGGGAAGGGGGGGGGGAAGGGGGAGGGGAGGGGGGAGGGGATGGGGGAGGGGATGGGGGAGGGGAGAGGGGAGGTGGAACAAGCTCAACGGCTCTTGGGCTTGTTCTAGTGTTTCTGGCTGAGAATTTCACTCAAAGGGCTTTTCCTTAGAAGACAGGAAGAACAAGCAGAAAGAGAAAACAGCAACTTCTACTCTAATTCCTACGAATGCATTTTTATATGTACAGTACATACATTTCAGAAATGCGGCTCGGAATGTCGATTCGGGTGGCCAGCCCCGACATCGAGTCACATCATCGTTTTTCAAATTTGTAACTCACTGCTATCATACACGTGTCCTTTTCTAACTCTTCGATATTGTTCCCTCGCCACCTGTCCCACACGGAAGTCTTCCCAAGTTAGTCAAGGCACGAAACCTCAGTTTCGCCCTTCTCACGTGGGTCCCCCACGTCCTGCTCACTTCCGCCCCCTTGCTGCCCACGTTCGCAGCTGCACGCTGCTGCTGCATGCTTTCACCTCCCGTGCGCTTCACGCTGCCTCCAGAGCAGACCCCACTTGTTACAGGAGGGGAGGGGAAGATCGGAGGATTGGCAGTGGGAAAGGGAATGGCAGAAGGTAGGGGAGAGGGATTGAGTTGTGTAATTGAGAGTGGGAGCGCGCAGAGGGAGGAGGGAGGGAGCGAGGAAGCAGGGGCAGGGGTTGAGGGATCAGAGCGAGGAAGCAGGGGCACGGGTTGAAGGACACTAAGGATGATCTCATTCTCCCTCCTTAGCCAGATGCTTTTTCCTACACTGCCCTAATTGCAGCGTACGGGAAGGGCGGGCAGGTTGAAAAAGCGAGGGAAGCTTACGAGACAATGCTACAGCAGGGCTGTTTCCAAATCTTTTCACCTTCAACATTCTCCTAGATATTTACGGGAAGAACAAGCTCTTTGGTGACGTGGCATGGGTTATGGATGAGCTGGCAGCGAGCGGGATCAAGCCCGACGTGGTGACGTGGTGACCCTGATTCGCTGCTACGGCCAGGCGCAGATGCTGCCGAAAGTCGAGGCCACTGTAGAGGCAATGCGGAGATCCGGCTGCCGCCCGAATCGCCGCACCTGCAACGGTCCGATCGACGCGTTTGGACGGTGCGGATCGGCCGCTGACGCAGCAGCGGTCTTCGAGGCCATGAAGTGTGCCGGGCACACGCCAAACACTGCCACCCATATCGCCTTGCTTGCCGCCCAGTCCCGGGAAGGCCTGTGGGAAGAAGCCGAAAACACCATTGAGACAATGAGACGTACCGGTTACGCTCCCGATGCTCTCACTTACTCTTGTCTTATCCATGCGTATGCTACAGCCGGGGATGCAAGCCGGCTTCTAGATGCGGTTTCACTGCTGGAAGCTACGGGGAAGATTCCCAGGTCTACCTCCCCCAGGTGTCCCTGGTAGGTGCACAAGTCGCTGGTATTGGCGTTTTGCAAGGCGATGTTCGGCAGCCAAGGGAGAGGGTTTGAGGGAGGATCAAAATGCCGGGCCACCAGGTTCGACCTTGGAGAACCATGCAAAACAGTGCGATCAGGACAAGAAAAATGTGAAAAACAGTCCGAACGTGGGCCTTCAAGGCGACGCGAACCCCATGCTAGAGTGTCGCCCGCGCCGCATCCCCCCCACAACCCCCCCCTTGGCGGAAAGCCTCCGCACTAGAGGGGGGGAATGAAACTTGGATTCCCTGGCCTGCCGCTCAAAACCGAAGAATCCAGCCAGATCCCGCGGTCAATCCCCTCCTATCGAACATGGCATTACCCTGAAAAGAAAGTAAAAAACAAAAAGGTATCCCACCCAACTTCCCTCTCAAAATGTAGGTTGAAACGAATAGGTTCCGCCATTTGCGCTAACCCTAAAGTGAGGCTTGCAATGGCCCTAATCACGAGCTGTCTCTGTTTCTAATCTTCCCATGCGTTTGGTTCAGCGGGACGCTCACACCTCACTGTTCTTCCCCTTTTTTTTTAATCCAATTTTTACCCTTTTCACCTATGCGTACAGCGTGTCGGGCATTTGTTTTTGGCATGCGACAACCCTTTTGTAGGGTGGAAGTTTCTCTTCTTGTACGGTGCAGCTTCCACCCCCCCCCCCCCCGCCATCTCGTTGTTTCCATCCCGTGAGCTCCCCCCGACTCTCCGCTTGCGCCAAGACCTCGGACGTGGGGTCAACTCTGGTGGACCCAGAGTTGACCCATCCAACTAGGGGCGAGGCTGGTCATTTTGGATCCCTCGCCCCAACCCCCCCTGTATTCCCTGGCCTGCCGAACATCGCCCAAGTGTGGGCGTGTGGGGGAGGCGGATGCAGCTTTAGAGAGGTGCGACAATTGTGGAATTGTTCCCGTCAAAGATGCGACGGCTGGGGTAACGGGGTTCCCTGCCGCTCAATCTAGCGGCAGGCGGTGGGAAATCTGACGGTTGACGGGGTAACCTGGGTGATCTGACTGGTTGAATTCTTCGCAATGGATTGAGCGAAGCTGCCTTGCGACCTTGCTGGCGCTGATTGACGCCAGGGAGCCTGGGGATTGGGCATGGCAGCACAGACGATTGGGTAACAGTTGCAATATAAACACTTTACAACAGAAAACGTTCCAAATCCACGATACAACCATGTGTATGCTACATTTGTGAATTTTGCATCAAAAGTTTCTACATTATGTCTGCAATCGATCCCTTTTTCTAGTTGCAAACTCTTATCATTAGCTCTTGTCCTATTTCATGTACTTCTGAGGAGCGCTAATTTAGCCATGAGATATTATCTGCATTATAATCAACAAACCGGCTTTCGTCTTTACTGTCTGAAAAGTAACTGTTGTCACCTTATCTACGGTACAAACGCAGTGACACTATAACGATTCCCCTAAGCACCTTCAAAATTCTTGCTACGCTAGGGTTTTGGTGAACCCGCCACGACTCATTTGTACTTTCCAGGTATCACGCGGTTCGCGAGCTAGCAGGGCTGGGCAATCGGCGCTAGGTAGACGCAATGGCGTCGAGAATCCTTTCCCGTATGTCTCTAGTCGCGCCAAATCTCCAGCCGTTAGCGCCGCACGTCTTCCGCCGATCCCTTCGTGCGCTCCCCCCGAGCGCCCTCCGCGGCCGCCCGCTCACGTTTCCACCGAGCTACGCGCGCGGAAGCTCTTCCCGCCTCGCGCATTTTCTTTCTCCGCGCGCGGAGCTCTCCACGGCACCTGTGTCGGCGGAAACTGCGCCAGCGGGCGTATCCGCGGATGGGACCCGCGCGGAGGCGGAAGAGTTGCGGAGCAGTGGGGCTGGGGAGAGCGGGAAGACACCTAGAGCCGGAACGCTGACGTTTCAGGACGCAATTCAGCGACTCCAGGTGTAACCGGGTTACCAATGGGGTGCCGAATTGTGTTAAAAATAACCCGCGTCTAGCACGATGCCACCGTTTCGCTTAATGCCGCGACGTCTGATTACAGTTTAGTGACGTTTAGACGTGATCGGGCTATTACGCGTGCGAAGAATCCGTGTTTCACAGGAATGCTGTTCCGTGCTGCACCAGACTCACGTCCCAACGCCCTCATTCCCCCATGCGCGTCTCCCCCGCCTCCTCCACCTTATCGCACGACAGGAGTACTGGGCGGGCGTGGGGTGCGCCGTACTACAGCCGAGCAACACGGAGGTGGGAGCGGGCACAATGAATCCCGCCACCTTCCTGCGCGTGCCTTGAGGGGCGCCTCACAATGTCCTCTTTTCCCCTTTCCCCCCCCGCGCACCTCCAAACCCCCACCCATGACAGGAGTACTGGGCGGGCGTGGGGTGCGCGGTGCTATAGCCGAGCAGCACGGAGGTGGGCGCGGGCACCATGAATCCCGCCACCTTCCTGCGCGTGACTTGAGAGGCGACTCACAATGCCCTCCTTTCCCCCCACCACCGCAGTACCCCTTCACTCCCCACCCCGATAGGAATACTGGGCGGGAGTGGGGTGCGCGGTTCTACAGCCGAGCAGCACGGAGGTGGGCGCGGGCACCATGAATCCCGCCACCTTCCTGCGCCTGCCTTGAGTTAGAGGGCTCCCGAGGCATGTCTCACAATCCCTCATCCCCCCTATCTCCCCACCACTCCTCCCCATGACAGGAGTACTGGGCGGGAGTGGGGTGCGCGGTGCTACAGCCGAGCAGCACGGAGGTGGGCGCGGGCACCATGAATCCCGCCACGTTCCTGCGCGTGCTGGGTCCCGAGGCGTGGCGAGTGGCGTACGTGGAACCCTCCATGCGCCCCGACGACAGCCGCTTCGGGGATAATCCGAATCGCGTGCAGCGCCATACGCAGTTTCAGGTGGGTTGGGGCGCTCTCAGGTGCTCTCAGGTGCTCTCAGGTGCTCTCAGGTGCTCTCAGGTGCTCTCTGCTGCTCCCTGCTGGCCTCTGCTGCACGCGCATACCTCACTGCATTGCCTCCCAGGGCATTCCCCCTGTGCGCTGCATTGCCTCCCAGGGCATTCCCCCTGTGCGCTGCATTGCCTCCCAGGGCATTCCCCCTGTGCGCTGCATTGCCCCCCCCATCCGCCACCTTTCTGCGCGTGTCGTGCTGGGCCCCGAGGCGTGGCGAGTGGCGTACGTGGAGCCCTCCATTCGCCCCGACGACGCGGTTGGGATAATCCCAACCGCGTGCAGCGCCACACGCAGTTCCAGGTGGGGTAGGGGCGCTTCTCCCCCCCTCTCCCCTCTTCTCCTCCCATGTCACCCCGCATGTCATCCTGAAGCCAGACCCAGGCAATGCATAAGCCAGCCCCGCAAGTCTACCTGGGGAGCCTGGCAGCGCTGGTCATCGACAGCAAGCAGCACGGCGTGCTCATCCCACCCACCCCAACCGCACTGCACCGCACTGACCACAACGTGCCTTTCGTGGAGGACAACTGGGAGTCGCCCGTGCTCTGAGCTCCCCTTCATTCTCCCCCCACCCTCCCAGGTTATCCTGAAGCCAGACCCAGGCAATGCACAAGAGCTCTACTTAGGCAGTCTAGCAGCGCTGGGCATCGACAGCCGGCAGCACGACGTGCGATTCGTGGAGGACAACTGGGAGTCGCCTGTGCTCGGCGCGTGGGGGCTGGGCTGGGAGGTGTGGCTCGATGGCATGGAGATCACGCAGTTCACCTACTTCCAGCAGGTGCAGTGCGGTGCAGTGCGGTTGGGGTGGGTCGGTGGGGGGAGAGAGAGCGGTTGGAATGGGTGTGGAGGACAACTGGGAGTCGCCCGTGCTCGTTGGTGGGGGCTGGGCTGGGAGGCGTGGAGATCACCCAGTTCACCTACTTCCAGTCCAGCAGGTTCAGTGCGGTTGGGATGGGTGCGAGGTGGGGAGACAGAGGTGCTTGTTGCAGCAGAGAGGAGGGTTGGCTTAGGGAGAAGGGGTGGCATGGTGAAGAGAGTTGAGTGGAGCAGGAAGCATGGCAGCACATTGTACCTCATTCCACTGCGCTTTCATTCCAACCCTGCTTTCTTTGCTGCATTCAATGAGCGTTTTCTGCTGCAATCTTTCCTATTGCTGCTGCACATGACCCTATTGCTGCTGCACATGACCATATTGCTGCTGCACATGACCCTATTGCTGCTGCACATGACCCTATTGCTGCTGCACATGACCCTATTGCTGCTGCACATGACCCTATTGCTGCTGCACATGACCCTATTGCTGCTGCACATGACCCTATTGCTGCTGCACATGACCCTATTGCTGCTGCACATGACCCTATTGCTGCTGCACATGACCCTATTGCTGCTGCACATGACCCTATTGCTGCTGCACATGACCCTATTGCTGCTGCACATGACCCTGCACCCGCATGCTTGCTGTCATGTGCATGTGTGTTGTGTTGCTGCATGCATGATTTTATTATGTGTTCATGCCGTTGCATTGCGTGCAGGCAGGGGGCATGCCACTATCGCCAGTGTCAGTGGAGATCACGTACGGCCTGGAGCGCATCATCATGAGCCTGCAGGTGTGTGTGTGGACCAATCAGAGTGTGGATTACTTGAAACGCTTTGCCTATGTTAATGGAGAGACTTACGGGAAGCTGATTCTGAAGAATCAGAGAGAGATCATCTGCTTCAACCAACATGCACGGCCAGTCACACGTCTCCTGTCTGTCACTCCCCCTCTCATTCTCCCCCTGTCAACATGCTCATCTCCCTCTCTCTCGCCTTGTCAGGGCGTTGACCATTTTAAGCGCATCGCCTATGCCCCCGGTGTCACCTACGGGGAGCTGTTTCTGGAGAACGAGAGGGAGATGAGCTGCTTCAACATGCTCGAGGCAGACACGGAGCGGGTGAAGCGGCGCTTTGATCTCTATGATGCCGAGGCACAGGCGCTTATCGATAAGCAGCTGGCCATCCCCGCGTGAGTAGTGGGGGGCCTGGTTGGGGGATGGTTGGAGGGTGCTGCAACCCCTGTATGCAACCCCCATATGCAACCCACAAGCAGTTATTGTTTATTGTCAAGCCACCCCGTATCCAGCCCCTGGCATCCCACTGCTCATCCCCGTGCCCCCCTGCAGGTGCTCAAGACATCCCACGCGTCCATCGTTGTCTTCTATATCCCATGCCCACCCCGCTGTCACCTCATTCACATCACACCAATCCAATCCCCGTGCCCCGGTGCAGGTTCCACCATGTGCTCAAGACATCGCATGCGTTCAACATTCTGGACGTGAGGGGTGCTCTTGGGGTCACTGAGAGAGATATGTCTTTTTGCTGCCCTCTGCCTGCCTACCCACGCACCACCCATCCCCCACAATAGGTTCGACCATGTGCTCAAGACGTCCCATGCGTTCAACATTCTGGATGCCAGGGGTGCTGTTGGGGTGACTGAGAGAGCTCGCTTCTTCGGCCGTATGAGGAGGTGTGTGCAGTTCGGTGTAGTATGGTGCGCATGGGTGCAGTATGGGGCATGTATGGTTGCATTCTGGATGCGAGGAGTGCTGTGGGCGTCACTTAGAGAGCGTGCTTCTTCGGCCGCATGCGGAGGTGAATGAAGTGCAGTGTGCATGGGTGCAGTGCGGTGTGCATGGGTGCAGTGCGGTGTGCATGGGTGCAGTGCGGTGTGCATGGGTGCAGTGCGGTGTGCATGGGTGCAGTGCGGTGTGCATAAGTGCATGGCAGTCCTACAATCAAGATATCCGTTTTGACATGATTTTGGAAACCAATGAAAAAGGATTACAGATTATAGAATAACCCACTTGCTTGAAAGCTCTCCCATCATTCCTCCCCACCCCACCCCTTTCTCCTTTCCCTCTTTCCCTCCCCCTGTGTCCTCCTTTTGGTCCCGTCACCCTCAATCCCCAAGCCAGCCTGGCGCGTCAGTGTGCCCAATTGTGGGTCGACACGCGGGAGAAGCTCGACTTCCCATTGGGCCGGGCGGACGCTGATGTGGCGCAGCCAACAGGCGACACATGGCCGTCCGCGGATGTGGCGGCGCAAGACGGAGTGGCGAGTGCGGGCGGCGAGGAGGCGGGGGAGGGCAAGGGGCGGATACTAGTGGTGGAGATCGGTACAGAGGAGTTGCCGCCTGATGATGTCAGCAGCGCTGTTGCCCAGGTGGGTGCACTGGGACTGGGTTTCTACGGCCATTCCAGAATTCATCTTCGCTGAACCAGCTGCTCATTCTCATCCCCTCCCCACTGTGTCCCCCACTCCCATTCTCCACCCTTCTCCCCCCCTTCTCTGCCAGTTGCGAGCAGCCATCCCGTCTCGGCTCATTCGCCTACGACTGCTGTACGAATCAGTGCGCGTGGAGGGCTCACCCAGGAGGGTGGCGTTGATTCTCATCATCACTCTACCTCCCTCTCCCATTCTCCACCCTCCCTCTCCCAGTTGCAAGCAGCCATCCCGCCTCTGCTCGCCCGCCTGCGACTCCCGTATGAATCAGTGCGTGTGGAGGGCACACCTAGGAGGGTGGCGGTGCAGGTGGGGGGGCTGGCAGCGTGGCAGCAGCGCGAGCAGCGGGAGGTGCGGGGACCGCCTGCGAACAAGGCATTTGACAAGGACGGCAAGCCCACTAAGGTATGTGCGTGCGGTGCAGCGTATGAGCGGGCGGTGCAGCGTATGAGCGAGCGGTGCAGCTTTTGAGCAGGCGGTGCAGCGTATGAGCGGGCGGTGCAGCGTATGAGCGGGCGGTGCAGCGTATGAGCGGGCGGTGCAGCGTATGAGCAGGCGGTGCAGCGTACGAGCGTGCGGTGCAGCGTATGAGCGGGCGGTGCAGCGTATGAGCAGGCGGTGCAGCGTATGAGCAGGCGGTGCAGCGTATGAGCAGGCGGTGCAGCGTATGAGCGGTATTCAATAGGATGTGGCTGCATTCATTCCAGGACGCAAAAAAAAGAATGTCTCGTAATGAAAGCCCGTTGCTCCTTCCCACCCAGGCGCTAGAGGGCTTCTGCAAGCGTAACGCGGTAACCGCGGAGGCGGTAACCACGCGTGCGGACGACAAGGGCGTGGAGTACGTGTGGGCGAGCGTGAGCGAGGAGAGCCGACCCGCGTGGGCGGTGCTGGGGGAGCAACTGCCGGCCGTGATTGCTGGGATTGCGTTTCCCAAAACCATGCGATGGAACTCCCAGGTGGGTGTGCAGCTGGCAGGTGGGCATGCGGAGACGACATAAGCAATTGGGTAACAGAGTAGGAGTGTGAGCGACGAGGGAAGACCTGCATAGGCGGTGCTGGGGGAGCAGCTGCCTGGGGTCATTGCAGGGATTGCGTTTCCTAAAACCATGCGGCGGAACTCCCAGGTGGGTGTGCACGCGGTGGTGATCACAGTGATGACAGGGTAGCAGAGCACGAGTGATGACAGGGTAGCAGAGCACGAGTGATGACAGGGTAGCAGAGCACGAGTGATTCGTTGATTGCTGGGCTCGCCTTTTCCAAACTGGTACGGTGACCTCTCATGTGTGCTTCGAGTTGAGAAGGCTTTGACAGCCCGCCTGTAATGATTGCTGGAGCCAGCCATCACCCCTCTGCCCGTGCACGCCCAACCCAAGGTTCGTTCATTGGCCTCGTCCCACCTTACCCCACCTCCTTCATCTCACCCCGCATGTGGCTGCTGCTGGCCATGCTCGGCGGCATGATGCTGCCCTTCACCCAACCCCAACGTTCCTTCCTTCACCGCACCCCTGCCCCTCACCACTCCGCACCACAGGTGGCGTTCAGCCGCCCCATCAGGTGGCTGCTGGCCATGCATCGGCCACGCCGTGGTGCCCTTTCACCCAACCCCAACCTTCGCTTGTTCACCGTATCCCCATCCCTACCCCCATCCCTCACCCTTCCACACAGGTGGCGTTCAGCCGTCCCATTCGGTGGCTGCTGGCAATGCACGGCAACACGGTGGTGCCGTTCGCCTATGCAGGGCTGGCGTCAGGCAATGAGTCATGGCTGCTCAGGAACGCTCCAGAGACACGAGTGCAGGTGAGCTACGTGCTTTAGATGCGTTCAGTCAGGGCTGCCACATGCTTCCTGATTCAAATCACTCTGCTTCTCTGCCGGCCTGAGCCATCTTTCATCTCCTTCCCTTTCCCTCCGTATGCTCTTCTCCCATCCGCGTCCCCATGCATCACATCCCATCCAACCCCCACGCGTGACACCGCACCAGCTGTCATGTGCAGAGTAGCACTCAGTAGTGTTGTAACTCTTGATCTCATTCTAAGAATTCTCATCCATCCCCTTCGTGCCACACCACACCACACCATACCATCCCACACCACACATCACACCACACTACACCAGTTACCATCCGCGGAGGAGTACGCAGCAGCCATCGCAGCTGCAGGCATCACCCTCTCCATCCAGGTGTGACCCGTCCCTCCCAATGCTGCTCCCCTTGCCTGCTGTCACGCATCGCCACCGATCACCACCCAATGTGACCACACACTAGATGCAACATAATGTTGGTTCGCCGCCTCCTTTCTCCTCGCACCCACCTCCTCCCATCACCCCTCTCCTCCCATCACCCCTCTCCTCCCATCAACCCTCTCCTAAATGCCTCGGGTCATTGCCTGTCATCTCCTAACAGCTCCCATCTGCCAACCTGTCAGAAATGTAAAGACGCACTCAGTACCACTTACTTCTGCCTCCTTGTCTCCCTGCCTCGTGCCATGCCTGTCATGTGCTGCCGCCTTTCCATGTGCCAATCTGCCAGGAGCGTAAAGACGCAATCTGGGCGGCAAGCAGTGAGCTGGCGGCATCGGTGGGAGGAAGCATCCCAGAAGATGCCAGAGGGGACCTCCTTGCTGAGGTGGCAAACCTGGTGGAGTCACCCGTGCCGCTTCTAGGAAGCTTCGACCGCAGCTTCCTTGACCTACCGCCCGAGGTGCTGGTGATGGTGATGAGGAAGCATCAGAGGTACTTCCCGGTGCAGGACGCAGCTTCCGGGAAGCTTCTTCCGTACTTTGTGGCGGTGCCGAACGGGAAGCTGGACGAAGCGGCAGTGCGGGCCGGGAACGAGTCGGTGCTGCGGTGAGTGGGTGGGGGGGGGGGGGGGGGAGGAGGGTTGGAGAAAGGGTGGTGGGTTACAAGGATGCGTGCTTCTTTTACAACAGTAATAGCTGCTGCTACCCATCGCCCTCCCATTTTTGTTCACACCGTTCGACCATTCCCCGTTTCCATCCCTCCCTACTTCCTCCACAGTGCGCGCCGCGAGAATGCGCGCTGCTTTTACAACAGCGACACCGACCATCCCTCCCTTGTTCTCTTATCACTGTGCACATCCCCTTGGTACCCATCTTCCCCCCACCCTCCCCCCCACAGTGCCCGCTACGAGGACGCGCGCTTCTTCTACAACAGTGACACGGCACATCCGCTGGAGTCCTTCCGGGAGAAGCTCAAGGGCATCACCTTCCAGGTTCCTTCCTTCCCATCTCTCTGCACCTTCCATGTGCCTTCCTCTCCCTGACTCTGCTTCACGCTGTTCTACCTCCACCTCCGTTTCGTGTCTTCCTCCAAACCAGACTGGCCGCCACTTTTTGAGTCGACTCAAACCAGACTGGCCGCCACTTTTTGAGTCGACTCAAAAATCGTTTCGTGTCTTCCTCCAAACCAGACTGGCCGCCACTGTCCATACCGTTTTCCAACAGTGGAAGCACAGAGCACAAATGTCCCCTATCACGTGAGGTACAGACAGCAGCAGAAAGTAGGAGGCATACCTTCTTCACTGAGCCATCCCCGTTTTCTTCCTCTTTCCCTCCACCTTTTCCGCTACCGCCCTATCCGATTGTCCCGTGTTTTCTGTCCTCCTCCCTCCCACCAGGCGAAGCTGGGATCAATGTTGGACAAGAGCGAGCGCACAGCGGCCTTCACGCTGCTCCATGCTGCTCTATTCCCTCTTCGTTACTTATCCCGGCCTCCCTCTCCCATTGCACCTATCCTTCTATCCTTCTCTCCCCCTCCACCTGCCAGGCGAAGCTGGGTTCCATGTTGGACAAGAGCGAGCGCATAGAGGCCATAACACCGCTCCTCTGCACCGCTCTGCACCTCTCTCCATCGGACTCCGCTGCAGCGCAGCAGGCAGCGCGGCTGTGCATGGCAGACCTCGGGACAGCCGTGGTGATGGAGTTTACAGGCCTGGCGGGGATCATGGGGCGACACTACGCGGAGAGAGAGGGATTGGGGGAGGAGGTGAGTGTGTGGGAACAAGAGGGCTGCTGCTGTGGTGTAGGCAAGCGCTCCAGCTTCGGCTGTGCATGGTTGACCTTGGGAGTGCCGTGGTGATGGAGTTTACTGGACTGGCGGGGATCATGGGCCGAAATTACGCGGAGAGAGAAGGGCTGGGGGAGGCGGTGAGTGTATGGGGTGGGAGAGGAGGAGGAGGGAGGGATAGTAGGCATGGAAGAAGGCGGTATGGAAGCAGCTTGGGACTGCCGTGGTGATGGTATTTTCTGGGCTACGATATTCGAGTCTGTGCTGCTGCGACCAGCGTGGACTCATGGCATGCCGATCGCCATCTTCCTTTCCTTTCCTGCTCGCCTTTCCTCCTCTCCAACCCCCACCTGTCCGCCCCACAAGTGAGCAGGGCTGTATTCGAGTGTGTGCTGCCTCGGTTTGTCGAGGATAAGTCGGGACAGCTTTTTTTTATACAGATACAATGTATCCCACCTCTACTCCCTGCACCTGCCCTCCCCCTCTTCCCACCCCTAACCCTCCCCCCCCCCCCCCATCCAGGTAAGCAGGGCCATATTCGAGTGTGTGCTGCCACGGTCAGCAGGCGACCAGCTGCCGAAAACAGCCCCTGGCCTTGTGCTCTCCCTCGCCACCAGGTATGCCCGTCCCTCTTCTCCCCTCTCTCCCTTTGACTCGGCTTAAAAGGTCACCTGCTAGCTGAGTGCTCTTCTTGCCATTCGGCCAGTATGGTGGACTCTCTGCACCATCGTCTGTGACCCATTCACCTCTCCTCTCACCTTCCACAACGCCCACGTCTGCTTCTCCGCTGCACCATGCCCTCATTCATTCATGCTTGACAGTCTGGGGGGCTCTTTGCCACTGACAATGAAGTCTGTCCAACCCATGTAGTGCCCCTAGCCCCGTCCGTCCACAGTGCCCACTCTCCACACCCGCTCCCTCCCGTTTTCCCCACTCTCTCTCGCAGGCTTGGCAGTCTCGTGGGCCTCTTTGCAATCGGCTGTGAGCCCTCAAGTGCCCCTCGCCACAGATCTTAGCACCCATTGCTCAGTCCCTCCTCCCCTTCGTCTCTCCCCTCTCTCGCAGTCTTGACAGTCTCGTGGGGTTGTTCGCCATCGGCTGTGAGCCCTCCAGTGTCCCTCACTCACACCACCGCCCACTGCCCACACCCTGCTCCCTCCCATCCCCGCCCCCCTTCACTCTCTCGCAGGCTTGACAGTCTCGTGGGGCTGTTCGCCATCGGCTGTGAGCCCTCTGCCTCTGCCGACCCCTTTGGTCTTCGCCGCTCCGCATACGGCCTTGTGAGCTGCCACTGCGCCAACCCACCCCTGCCCCAACACCTGCTAAGACTCACCCCTGCCCCAACACCTGCTTAGACTCACCCCTGCCCCGACTCCTGTCCTCACCTGATTGTTTCCACGCCCTGCTCCATCATATGGCTGCTGCGCTCACTCTTGCACTTGCTTTTACTTCTCCCTTCGTGTGAGTGCTTTCACCTGCTTTCACCTCTTCTCACCTCTTCTCACCTCTTCTCACCTCCTCTCATCACACGCATGGTGTTCATGGCGGCGTGGAAGCGCTAATGGTGAATAGCACAAGCCCGCACCTATCTATTCAACTGCTTTCTCACCTCCTTTCACCTGCTTGCACCTCGTTGCGTCGATTATGGCAGGTGGAGGCGCTGGTAGCAAGCAACATGGACCTGCACCTCTCAACAGCCCTGCAGGCAGCCGCGTCCGTGCAGCCTGTTGAAGTCGCTCCCGCTACCCTGGAGCAGGTGAGGTGAGGTGAGGTGAGGTGAGGTGAGGTGAGGTGTTTGTTTGCCAGCAAGTGTGCATTCCCATCTGCACCTCTCCACGGCCCTGCAGGCAGCAGCTTCTGTGCAGTCTGTGGAGGTCACTCCCGCTACACTGGAGCAGGTGAGGTGGTGGCTGAGATTCGGCAATACCCATCAGCACTATGCAGCATTTGTGCAGCCCCCGGCAGCGCTACAGCAGGTGAGTTGGTCTTCGCAAGGTCTCCCTAGCCCTCAGCAGGCAGCAGCACCCGTGCAGCCGTGGAGGTCACCCCCGCAGCCTGCCACACTGGAATAGGGGAACTGGTGGTTGAGAATTGAGAATCGTTGAGAATGAGATAGTTGAGTGGGGTGCTTCAGACTCCCACCTACTCCCTACCACGTTGTCTATTCCAACCCTTCCCACCCTCCGCCGCCCATTCCAGGTGCAGGCCTTTACAGTGCGCCGCCTGGAGCAGTTCCTGGTGGGCCACAGGGCGGCAGTGGAGGCGGTGGTAGGGGCGCCTCAAGCTGTCTCATCCTGTTGTGCCTCACGTGCCTCAAACTCCCTTTCAATCTCTTTTTTCCCCTCCCTGGGTTTCAAGTGCAGGCCTTTATAGTGCGCCGCCTCAAGCAGCAGTTTTTCTCCCTCCCCCATCCCCCAACTGCAGGTGGAGTCCTTCATAGTGCGCCGCTTGGAGCAGTTCCTGGTGGACCGCGGGGCGGCGGTTGAAGCGGTGCGAAGCGTGCTGGAGGAGCGGGGCTCTGTGCCAGCGCTCGCTGCACGATCCGTGGCGGAGGTGAGTTGTAAAGCTGGGTGTGGAGGCCGCTCAGCAGTCACTTGGTGCATGAGGCAGTGAAGGCAGTGGAGGCGGTGCAAAGTGTGCTGGAGGAGCGAGGCTCTGTGCCCACCCTGGCTGCACGATCCGTGGCGGAGGTGAGTGGTGGCGCATTGTGGCACGCGAATCCTCTCTGCTGTGATGTGACGTTGTGACATGACATTGTGTGATGTGACGTTGTGACATGACATTGTGTGATGTGACGTTGTGACATGACATTGTGTGATGTGACGTTGTGACATGACATTGTGTGACACTGTCACACGCCACAGAGGGCCTCCTTGACATGACATTGTGTGACACTCATGAGAATTCTCAAGATTGCCAGGCCACTCACTTTTTGTCTCTGCTGACAACCTGTAACCGTGCTGTCTGCCCCGCTGCCTGCCCTGATACCAGATGGAGGAGCTAGAGGCGTCCGGGCAGCTTGAAAAGATCGTGGCAGCGTATGCACGGCCAACAAGGATTGTGCGCGGCAAGGAGGTGGATGTGGACTGGCAGGTGAGCTGTGAGAGGCGCCTCATGAGCTGTGAGAGGCGCCTCATGAGCTGTGAGAGGTGCCTCATGAGCTGTGAGAGGCGCCTCATGAGCTGTGAGAGGCGCCTCATGAGCTGTGAGAGGCGCCTCATGAGCTGTGAGAGGCGCCTCATGAGCTGTGAGAGGCGCCTCATGAGCTGTGAGAGGCGCCTCATGAGCTGTGAGAGGCACCTCATGAGCTGTGAGAGGCGCCTCATGAGCTGTGAGAGGCGCCTCATGAGCTGTGAGAGGCGCCTCATGAGCTTCCGTGATGCGAGCTGCACACTTGTGGCCTGGCATGCTCTGGCAACCAGAACATACATTGGTTGCTCGTGGTGACCATGAGGAGTGCCTGTGTGCATGTCTAGCGCTCGGGAGTTAATCATGTCTGCTTGTCTCGCATCGCAGTCTGACGATAAACATGACACTGGGGATGATGTGGAGCTCTCTCGTGTGTGTGTGGGGGGGGGGGGGGAGCTTGAGTGCAGGTGAGGGAGGAGCTATTTGAGTCGGACGCGGAGAGGACTCTGTGGGACGCGTTCAAGCACGTGGATGCGGAGGTCTCCACTGGTGAGTGTCTACTTCTTCTGTGCCCATGGCACATTCATTGCATCATGTCACATCGTCCCACATATCATGTCACATCGTCCCACATATCATGTCACATCGTCCCACATATCATGTCACATCGTCCCACATATCATGTCACATCGTCCCACATATCATGTCACATCGTCCCACATATCATGTCACATTGTCCCACATATCATGTCACATCGTCCCACATATCATGTCACATCGTCCCACATATCATGTCACATCGTCCCACATATCATGTCACATCGTCCCACATATCATGTCACATCGTCCCACATATCATGTCACATCGTCCCACATATCATGTCACATCGTCCCACATATCATGTCACATCGTCCCACATATCATGTCACATCGTCCCACATATCATGTCACATCGTCCCACATATCATGTCACATCGTCCCACATATCATGTCACATCGTCCCACATATCATGTCACATCGTCCCACATATCATGTCACATCGTCCCACATATCATGTCACATCGTCCCACATATCATGTCACATCGTCCCACATATCATGTCACATCGTCCCACATATCATGTCACATCGTCCCACATATCATGTCACATCGTCCCACATATCATGTCACATCGTCCCACATATCATGTCACATCGTCCCACATATCATGTCACATCGTCCCACATATCATGTCACATCGTCCCACATATCATGTCACATCGTCCCACATATCATGTCACATCGTCCCACATATCATGTCACATCGTCCCACATATCATGTCACATCGTCCCACATATCATGTCACATCGTCCCACATATCATGTCACATCGTCCCACATATCATGTCACATCGTCCCACATATCATGTCACATCGTCCCACATATCATGTCACATCGTCCCACATATCATGTCACATCGTCCCACATATCATGTCACATCGTCCCACATATCATGTCACATCGTCCCACATATCATGTCACATCGTCCCACATATCATGTCACATCGTCCCACATATCATGTCACATCGTCCCACATATCATATCATGTCACATCGTCCCACATATCATGTCACATCGTCCCACATATCATGTCACATCGTCCCACATATCATGTCACATCGTCCCACATATCATGTCACATCGTCCCACATATCATGTCACATCGTCCCACATATCATGTCACATCGGCCCACATATCATGTCACATCGGCCCACATATCATGTCACATCGTCCCACATATCATGTCACATCGTCCCACATATCATGTCACATCGTCCCACATATCATGTCACATCGTCCCACATATCATGTCACATCGTCCCACATATCATGTCACATCGTCCCACATATCATGTCACATCGTCCCACATATCATGTCACATCGTCCCACATATCATGTCACATCGTCCCACATATCATGTCACATCGTCCCACATATCATGTCACATCGTCCCACATATCATGTCACATCGTCCCACATATCATGTCACATCGTCCCACATATCATGTCACATTGTCCCACATATCATGTCACATCGTCCCACATATCATGTCACATCGTCCCACATATCATGTCACATCGTCCCACATATCATGTCACATCGTCCCACATATCATGTCACATCGTCCCACATATCATGTCACATCGTCCCACATATCATGTCACATCGTCCCACATATCATGTCACATCGTCCCACATATCATGTCACATCGTCCCACATATCATGTCACATCGTCCCACATATCATGTCACATCGTCCCACATATCATGTCACATCGTCCCACATATCATGTCACATCGTCCCACATATCATGTCACATCGTCCCACATATCATGTCACATCGTCCCACATATCATGTCACATCGTCCCACATATCATGTCACATCGTCCCACATATCATGTCACATCGTCCCACATATCATGTCACATCGTCCCACATATCATGTCACATCGTCCCACATATCATGTCACATCGTCCCACATATCATGTCACATCGTCCCACATATCATGTCACATCGTCCCACATATCATGTCACATCGTCCCACATATCATGTCACATCGTCCCACATATCATGTCACATCGTCCCACATATCATGTCACATCGTCCCACATATCATGTCACATCGTCCCACATATCATGTCACATCGTCCCACATATCATGTCACATCGTCCCACATATCATGTCACATCGTCCCACATATCATGTCACATCGTCCCACATATCATGTCACATCGTCCCACATATCATGTCACATCGTCCCACATATCATGTCACATCGTCCCACATATCATGTCACATCGTCCCACATATCATGTCACATCGTCCCACATATCATGTCACATCGTCCCACATATCATGTCACACCGTCCCACATATCATGTCACATCGTCCCACATATCATGTCACATCGTCCCACATATCATGTCACATCGTCCCACATATCATGTCACATCGTCCCACATATCATGTCACATCGTCCCACATATCATGTCACATCGTCCCACATATCATGTCACATCGTCCCACATATCATGTCACATCGTCCCACATATCATGTCACATCGTCCCACATATCATGTCACATCGTCCCACATATCATGTCACATCGTCCCACATATCATGTCACATCGTCCCACATATCATGTCACATCGTCCCACATATCATGTCACATCGTCCCACATATCATGTCACATCGTCCCACATATCATGTCACATCGTCCCACATATCATGTCACATCGTCCCACATATCATGTCACATCGGCCCACATATCATGTCACATCGTCCCACATATCATGTCACATCGGCCCACATATCATGTCACATCGTCCCACATATCATGTCACATCGGCCCACATATCATGTCACATCGTCCCACATATCATGTCACATCGGCCCACATATCATGTCACATCGTCCCACATATCATGTCACATCGTCCCACATATCATGTCACATCGGCCCACATATCATGTATCGCATCGTCTTGCATCCACATCACATTCATGCACCATTCATAACGCATTCAGCCATGTACTGACATGTCTCTAAGCTGGTCTAGCCATTGCCGTTTTCACCACAGCATACACCTCTGCCTCACCATTTACCCTGATCATTGGCCATCTCATCACACCAGGCATATCTGCATCCCCAACACATGCAATGAAGATATATATTTCGTGCGTTCTCTCCCCCTTGCGCCCTCCCAACACGGCATGCATACAGACATGAGCATCAAGGCATTTGCCGATGCATCCATGGCTCTCATCGACCCTCTTGAAGGTTTCTTTGCGAACGTGTTCGTCATGGCGGTAAGCCAACCAGCCAGGCACATGTCACGCATACAGACATGTGCATCAAGGCTTTTGCTGATGCATCCATGGCGCTCCTTGACCCGCTTGAAGGCTTCTTTGCAAACGTGTTCGTCATGGCGGTAAGCCAAGCCACCAGCCAGCAACATGACATCATATCTATTTCCACTCCTCACCCCCCACCCCCCACCACACCCTGAACCCCAAACCCCTCAATGCACACTCCCGTCCCCCACAGCACACTCAACACCCGGAACCCCACAACACCACTGCACGCTTCTGTTGCTGATGTTGGAGCATGTCTGTCTGTCTCTATCTATGTGCTAACTCTTGCCCTGGTTGTGATCGCTTGCATCTCGACTCGGTATTGTGGTTTTGACGCGATCACTAAATTTCACCTGGGTGTGTGGCACTGGGGATGCAGGAGGATGAGCAGCTGCGCAAGAACCGCCTGGGGCTGCTGAGCAGGATTGCGAGACTGCCGGAAGGCATTGCTGACCTCACTGTGCTGCCTGGCTTCTAGAGCATGCACGCTGGCATGCAGGCTGGCAAACAGAATGGCATGCAGCCTTGTGTTCAGGCTTTCATGCTGCCTGCCTGGCGAGCTCAGTTGAACCTTCGAGGTGTTCCTCTATCCTGGATGTAGAATTAGGGAGTGTTATGTGGCTTGCTACATTGGCAAGGTACATCCCTGATTTCAACACTGTAGCTGTTTCTGTACCCGTAAGCTCCCGGATAGGTAAGACCCTAGGGTCTTATGTAAAATTCATAAAAAAAAAATGGGGGGGGTCTTGTTGAAGGGTAAAGATTGTTTAGTACCCGGGTCCTATGATATGGACGTTTATTTTAAATGTGTATTCAAATGCCTCATTGATCTGGATGCTTGATATTTTGTTTTTATCCTCGATAGGTCCGCGGATGTGAGTATTTGCGATATAGGTACATCACAATGAAATCTGGTTGTGACCTAATTGAATCTGGCTGCGCCCATAACATTGAAATCTGGCTGTTTTTTTCCCCCATATTGCTATTGTTTTCATGAACAGTCAACCCAGTGTGGGATTAGTGTCAGAATGTGATGTTTGTGTAGCCTGCAGTGGGGTACTCTATAGCGAGTACAGCCCGAATTAGGGTTTGCTATATGTACTGAACTGCATGCTAGTGAAATCCTCTCTTTTCTGTTTCTTGATTCTGCCTAGCATTCCAACATGCTATCAGAGCAGGTTGACCCTCCTGGGTCGATCCTGTGGGTGGGTCCCACCCGATGCTTCAGCTGCTCTACTGCTTGTAGCGCGCCCCGGGCGCGTGCTGTTTCCTGCCTGCCGCGCGCTCCGGGCGCGCAGCGATTTTTCTTCCCGCCGCGCGCCCCGAGGCGCGCGGCGGTTTTCTGCCCCGTCGAACCGTCGCGTCGCCCCCCGTCGCCAGACGCGGCCCGCGCGACCTGCGCCAGGCCCGCGCGCGACCCGTACGGGCTGCGCCAGGCCCGCGCGCGGCCCGTACAGCCCGCGCGCGGCCGGTACGGGCTGCGCCAGGCCCGCGCGCGGCCTGTACGGCCTGCGCCAGCCCAGCGCACGGCTCGTACGGGCTGCGCCAGGCCCGCGCGCGGCTCGGGCAGCCCGCGCGCAGTTCGTACGGGCTGCACCAGGCCCGTGTGCGGCCCGTACTGTCTCCCCCCTTGCCGCACGCCGTCCCCCGAGCTCCTGACTGCGCCCCACCCCCGCTGCTGCCTGCGTTCCTGTGTTAGGGTTTGGGGGTGGAGAGTATGGGGGTGCCGTGTGTGTGAGCCGTCCCCTTCTCCTCCTCCTCCTCCGTCTCCCACTGCTGCAGCTGCCGCTGAGGGGGGTGGATGTGTTGGAGCCGTCGGAGTCGTTTGAGGGGGGTGGCGAGTGAGCAGTGCTAGAGGTGCAGCAGGGAGTGTGTGAACGAGGTGTGGGACAGTTGGGGGAGGTTGACCGGAGGTAGCCGACTTGTCGTCCGCAGCGCATGAAGTCCAGAGAGCCACGACCCCCTGTAGCCTGAGTAGTCCAGGGCTCTGCGCCCGGTAGCCACAGTGTGAGCACTCCTGGTAGTCCAGAGAGCCACGACCCCCTGTGGCCTGAGTAGTCCGGGGCTCTGCGCCCAGTAGCCACAGTGTGTGCACTCCTGGGAGCACAGTGAGCCAGCTGCGCCTGTCGCCGTGTAGTCCGGGTTTAGCCTGGTAGCGACAGTGCTGCGCACTCCTGCTGCCTGTGTGTCTGCAGCTTCAGCCGTCGCCTCCCATCTTCTCGCCCTCACAGTTTCTCCTCCTCCTCACTTGCCCTCTGTGACTGCCTCTAGCTTTGCTTATACTTGTGAACTACTTCTTTGCCTGCTTGTTGTTTTGATTGTACCCCACTTTGACTATGGGGGTGTGTCAGAATGTGATGTTTGTGTAGCCTGCAGTGGGGTACTCTATAGCGAGTACAGCCCGAATTAGGGTTTGCTATATGTACTGAACTGCATGCTAGTGAAATCCTCTCTTTTCTGTTTCTTGATTCTGCCTAGCATTCCAACAATTAGTAGGCCTGAATCTGTGTTCACACCCTTATCATTCTTGAAAAACACATGAAAATGCATCTAAATGCCTTTTAAAACACTAGTGCACAAGTTTAGGGGGGGTCTTGTAATGTTTGTTGAGATAATATCGAGACGTAAAGCACTTCAAGGAAATTCGTGTAGTACAGTAAAGTACCGATAGGCTGACGTCAGCAAAGCGCTACGCGACCTAGGATGACGTTGTCAGAATGTTGTATTTGTCTAGCCTGCAGTGGGGTGCTCTATAGCGAGTACAACCCAATCTAGGGTTTCCTATATGTACTCAACTGCTTGCTAGTGAAACCCCTCCTTTCTTCATTCTTACTTTCTACTGCTAGTTCTGACAGACGTCAGCACGTAGCTATAGACTTCGCGAATAGTTACGTCTAGGGGGTGCTGAGCCTAGGGGTGCTACGTCTGGGGGTGCTGAGCCTAGGGGTGCTACGCCTGGGGGTGCTGAGCCTGGAGGTGCTCCGCCTGGAGGTTCTCCGAGTGCTTCGTCTCGCCGGGAGCCACTTTCGCCACAGGAGCTGCGTGAGTGGTTTGCCCGGCGCTGGAGGCGTGCTGCTGGTGCTGGAGGTCCTTCGGCTGCTGAGGGTGCTGCGGTCGCGGGTCCCGGAGGTACTCGTCCTGGGTGCACTGGAGCTGGTGCTGCTGAGGGTGTTGGCGCTGAGACTACCGCTGGCAGTCCTACTGGGGGTGCTCCTGGTGCTGCTGGAGGTTCTGGAGCTACTGGTGGTGCTGCTGGGGCGGGTGCTCCTGCTGAGGGTTCTGGTGCTGTCCCTGCTGCTTCTAGCGTCGCCGCGCGGCCTCGACCGTACTTCGTTCCACTCCTGCAGCAAGTTCTTGGTCTTCCACCTTCTACTGGTCCTCCTCCTCCCTTAGAGTGTCCACAGCCTGTCTCGTCCCAGCTACAGTTGCAGCCTACCTCCCCTTTGCCTGCTCCTTCTCCCTACACTGGTCCTACTGGAGGTCTGGCTGAGCGTCGTGAGCCTGCGTCTCGCCCTGCGTCGCCTGTCCGTGCTGCTCGCACTAGTGGTCGCGGTTCGCGTCAGCGTCCTCCTCCTGTCCCTGGCACGCACCGGATGTCTCTGCGTCCGTCCACTGCTCCTCTGCGTGCCCCTTTGCCTTCTCCTCCTGAGTCCTCTCTTCCTGCTCTTGCCGACCCGGAGTCGGACTCTCTTCGTGCTGCCAGTCCTACTGTCACGCGTCTCCTTGCTACTGTTGTCACTGACCCTTCTTTCGAGTCTACTGCTGCGTCTGCTCTCGTTACTGAGCTCGTCGACTTTGCTGCTCGCTGTCGCTTAGACTACGCTACTAGTCTTGTCGCTGAGTCTGAGTCTGTCTGTCCTCCGTCCGTCGGGGGTGAGTGTGCCCTTGGCACGGACGTCCTTGAGGACAGGCAGGAGGAGTTCCAGTGTCTGGCAACTGCCTCACCTCATCTCGTGTCCGTACTGCTTACCCCTGAGGGAGACCCGGATGCACTTGACATCCCGACTCCGCGCTCTTACGCGGAGGCGATAGAGGGTCCCTACTCCTCTGAGTGGCAGGCAGCTATGGATGCAGAGATGGCTTCCTGGAAGTCCACAGGCACCTACGTTGACGCTGTCCCCCCTCCTGGGGCGAACATCGTCAGTGGCATGTGGATCTTCAGGGTGAAGCGGCCGCCGGGTTCTCCGCCTGTCTTCAAGGCGCGTTACGTGGCTCGTGGCTTCAGTCAGCGGCAGGGAGTTGACTACTTTCAGACCTTCTCCCCCACCCCGAAGATGACCACTCTTCGGGTACTGCTGCACGTTGCTGCTCACCGTGACTACGAGCTGCACTCTCTTGACTTCAGCACAGCTTTCTTGCAGGGCAGCCTGCATGAGGAGATCTGGCTGCGTCGCCCACCTGGCTTCACTGGGTCTTTCCCTCCTGGTACCCAGTGGAGTCTCCGGCGTCCAGTCTACGGTCTCCGCCAGGCGCCACGTGAGTGGCACGACACACTGAGGACTACGCTTGCGGCTCTTGGGTTTGCTCCTTCTACTGCCGACCCGTCGCTGTTTCTACGCACCGACACCTCTCTGCCGCCGTTCTACATCCTCGTGTACGTCGACGACTTGGTCTTTGCCACAGCTGACACTGCTGGACTCGCCCACGTGAAGTCCGAGCTGCAGAAGAGACACACGTGCACAGACCTGGGTGAACTGCGCAGCTACCTTGGCTTGCAGATCACCCGGGACAGAGCACGCCGCACCATTACCCTGACGCAGTCACACATGGTGCAGCAGGTCCTTCAGCGCTTCGGCTTCACGTACTCCTCGCCTCAGGCCACTCCTCTGTCTACTCGCCACTCGCTCTCAGCTCTGCCTTCGGATGAGTCCGTAGAGTCGAGTGGCCCGTACCCAGAGCTTGTTGGCTGCCTCATGTACCTGATGACCTGCACACGACCTGACCTTGCATACCCTCTTAGCATTCTTGCACGCTATGTTGCTCCTGGGAGACACAGACCAGAGCACATGGCTGCAGCGAAGAGGGTGTTGCGCTACTTGTGCAGTACGTCGGGCATGGGGCTAGTGCTTGGAGGGCGGAGTCCAGTGGTCCTCACTGGGCACGCGGACGCTTCTTGGGCTGACGACCAGGCTACGCAGCGGTCGTCACAGGGTTACACCTTCAGCCTTGGTTCCGGCTCTGTTTCGTGGCGGGCTACTCGCTCGTCTTCTGTTCTTGGCTCGAGTTGTGAGGCTGAGATCTACGCCGGGGCCATGGCTGCACAGGAGCTTCGCTGGCTCACCTACCTGCTGACCGACCTTGGAGAGCCGCCTCGTTCTCCTCCAGTCCTGTACGTAGACAACAAGGCCATGCTGGCCTTGTGTCGAGAGCAGCGACTGGAGCACAGAACAAAGCACATTGCTCTCCGCTACTTCCTTGCTCGTGAGCTACAGCAACGTGGACAGTTGCGGCTTGCGTACGTGGCCTCTGAGGCCAACA